TTTCCAACTGTTTAATTGGTCTAATAAAAGACATTCACCCAGAGAACCTTGTCTGCCTGTGTCCTTGGACCAACACAACTACAACCAACAACCCTGAAACAAGGAAGATACAAATTTGCCATTTGAAATGGAAACTTCACAACATGAAGAAGAACAAAGTCCAGCTCAACAGTGACATATTTTCTAAGCCTATGCAAGAAACACAACATTATTCCCAGAGGACTGAATATCTCCAGTCCTATGACTACTACACAGAGTTCCAAATATGCTTCACGACTACACAAGAAAACTTCAGAATAAACTTAGAAATCATCTCCTTCACATAACCTTCTCCAAAAGAGATCAGCTCAAGAAGGAAATCAAGACATGCTACAACAATTTGAAAAATATAAATCCAGGTATCTTCCCAAACATTATACAATGTATATGAAAAGCCTACCAAAGATTTTCTGCAACATCCATCAAATATAAAAAGAAGAAATGGAACCAATTACTACAGGAACAACTTTTCCAGCCACAAAACAACCATCAGAGAAACAACACCAATACCTTACAACATTCCAAACTCATTCTCAATGAAACTGAAGGAACCAGTCAACCCTCAAGTATTATCAATATTATCACTTACTAAAGCTGAAAAGACTGTCCTCTCTAAAGCCCTTAACTTCTGTCCAGAAAAATACCCTAATTAGATGCTACAATGTGGAGAACTAGAAGAATTTTTCCAACGGCTCCATCTCAAGGAACATTTCTACAACCAAAACAAATCCACTTCAGCAACACTTCATCTTGTGACAACGTCAAGGAAAAGATTAACACCAAAAAATCCTCAGGTTGGACACCTAACTGTAGATGAAATCCAAACCTCAACTGCTATATTGGCTATTTCAGTGAAAGAATGAACATTGAAATAGTCAACAACAAACACCACCATAATGACCTTTGCCTCTTAGAGAGAAGGGCCATAGAAACTCTTAAGATCCAAGCACCAAATAGTAATAAAACCAGCAGATAAAGGAGGAGCTATAGTTATTCTTAACCATGAAGACTACATAAAAGAAGCCAACAGACAACTCGTTGACACCACCTACTACGAAAAACTAGAGGATAATCCAACTCCCCTTCTCACCTTAAAACTCAAAACCACCATCACATCATTGCCATCTGAACTACAAAACTTGATTCCCCCCCCCCACTACCCAATCCATGGACTTTTTACATCCTCCCTAAAATCCACAAACAAGGGAACCCTGGCAGACCTATAATATCCAACTATGGAACCCTAACTGAAGAAACATCAGGTTTCATCGAATCCATCCTAAAACTTCTTGACACCCAGAGACCAAGTTTTGTCCAAGACACAACAGACGTTCTACACAAATTAAATTTAAAAAATATAGACTACATTCCCAGCAATACCCTCCTAGTCACCATGGATGTTACCAGCTTATGTAACAAATTCCTCCACCAGGAAGGAATCCAAGCCTGCCTTATATATCTACAAGAGCAAGATTACAACTCAAAGTACACACCTCAAAATATTGATGAACTTATACACATCATCTTCACACACACCAACTTCAGTTTCAATAACCAACACTTCTTCCAGACCATGGGCACAGCTATGGGCACGGGGCACCAAAATGTCCCCACAATATCCAAACCTTTTTATGACCTACCTGGAAGAAGAATTCCTCAAGAACTGCATCATCAAACCCATGCTATACCTAAGATATATCGATCATTTGGGCCAAAAACCTGCAGTCTCAAAGTGACTTCCATCACAAATTCAATAATCATCACCCCTCCATCAGACTGTCTTTTGAATAATCCAGCACCAACATCTCCTTTTTAGACACTATGATCAATATCCAGAATGGTAAAATACAAACCACCATATACAAGAAACCCACAGACCAACATACATATTTACACAGAACCAGCAATTACCCTAAACACACCAAGAAAGCTGTAATTTACAGCCAAGTCCTCCAGTACTACCAAATTTACCCTGAGAGGAATACCTGCAATCGCCACCTCCCAAATCTCCAAAGGGCTTTCACCCAACAAGAACGCTCCTCCAGAGAGAGAGAGAGATCATGCTTTTGAAAGAGCCTCTTGGATACCACATGAAGAATTGCTACAGTACAAAAAGAAAATCCCCATAAATCACACACCATTAGTTATGACATACCATCCTTCCCTGGAACTCGTACAGAAAATCCTCAAACAATTGCGACCCATACTAGACCCAATTCTCAAAGAGATCTTTCAAGAACCACCCATCCTAGCCTTTAAACAGGCACCAAACCTTGCTAACCTTATCACCAGAAGCAACCTTCCTATGATCCAAAGCACAACGAATGGATCCAGACCATGCCAGGATAAGAAATGTAAAACCTGTCAATACAGTTCCACCATTCCCACAACAACTACAACCCACAACAGAACCATCACCATTTCTGGATCTTACACCTGCACCTCTGGAAATGTAATATATCTCATCTAGTGTAGTAAATGTCCTGATGGAAAATATGTAGAAGGAACCAAACAACAACTGCATACCAGAATGAACATACACCAAAAATCTGTCAAAGACAAAGATATCCAATTACCTCTAGGTGCACACTTTTCACAAGATAACCTCTCTCTTAGTTCTCTCAGTTTTAATCCTCAAAGTAAATTTACAAAACACCTTTCGTAGATGAGCCTCCAAACTTCACTTCATAGATCTACTGGATACAAAAAATCATGGACTAAATATAGATATTGAATTTATGGCATATTATAACCTGCCTGCCATCTGAGAACCCTAGGTAACCTCTCTGCAGTTTACTAGCTGCATTCTTTCACCAAGTCAACAGCCTCCTTTCCCCTCCTCCCCGCAACCTATTGTCTACCATCCATTTACATTTTTACAGGCCTGCATTTTTGCATATTGGCTTCTGATCTACTCAAGAGAGCATCCAAACCAACAGCAGACTCTCTTCAATTTCTGAAGAAGGGTGTTTGTGCCCAAAAGTTTACAAAGAACAATTTTTTTAGTTCATCTAATAAAAAATATTACATTTACCCAAATAAACTTGTCTGCTCATATTGTATGTACATCCCAAGGGGTCCCAGTCTCACCTGGATTTGTGAGCAAAGTGCAAGAAGTGTCAAGCCAGAATTCAAACATACAAGCAGTTCTCGGACTGATGACACAATTGGTTCCTGAAAACCACATCTTAAGTCAAAACATTGTAACTCAGAACCAATTTTCCCATAGGAAGCAATGTTATAAATGGGGGGATTGGTCCCTGAACCAAGGCCTGATACCCTATTTTTACCAAAAATAACCCAGAATTTTGTACTCAATAAATTATAGATGAGTAATATAGAGACATTAATGTATTTATATTGTAAATAGCAATAATATTGATTTGGAAGGATTTCTTTGAGGTGACTTTGCTGGACTTTTTGAAGGGCTCTTGGTTCAACTTTTTGAAGGGTTCTTGGCTGGAGTCTTCTCAGGAGTCTTGGCTGCAGGTTTTTCTGGAGTCTTGTCTGCTTTCTTAAAGAAAGTGTCCAAGGAAGTTTGGACAGATGTTCTCCAGGGAGACGGGTGACACAGAAGACTTGTTCGCTGGCATGGTGTTGCATCAGATTAAGCGTTGTAAAGTCTAAACTGATGTCAGAAAGTTAAAACAGGGTGTCAGTTTATAAACATTGTAAGTGCAAAATGTTGCCTGTACTAAAATATGAGAGGAATCCTATCATACCATTAGGCCTGTTTTATTTCAAGTGTTGGAATACAGGCAAGTTGGAAAACCATATATCTGGTATAGGTGCTTGAGAAATGTTTTAAAGATAGAAGCGGAGTTTTTGCTTTCTATGTCTAATAGGAAAGGGCTCTGAAAGGATAAGAACTGTAGAGATCCATGTACAGTAGTCAGATCAGATACATAAACTTGGCTACAAGGGATGTGTCCTTTCTGCCTTTTGGTTGGAACATGTAGCCGCAACTACACATACATATGTGTTATCGCTTCTGAGGGACTTTGGGACTAAATGACCATCTGTTCATTTTGGGCCTCCTGTGGGATGATGCCTTTGCTTTTTGAAGCTGCTAATGGCTCGTCTACCCTTGGATCTTGTACACCTGCTCCTGATTCCCCAAACTGTAATGCAAGGTTGACATCTCCCATCACTCACATTGTACATCCAGACGGGTACAGCTGTTGGGGGTTTCCTTTGAAAACAAACATTTTATTTAGGCTTGTATTTTATTTGGTAATTTAACCATGTAGATCGGACAGATTCTGAGGCATCTGATACCCCGCTCCCATTTGCGACTATTTCACTAAAGATTCAGCAGCCAGGGTATTATTTCAAAGCTCAGGGCCTCTCTTTCTGTGTACAACTGTGTCTCTATCTCCCTCTTCAGACAAAAATGGTAGCAGAAGAGGTCTGAGTGACAAGCCCCAGCTGTTCCTTGTCTCGACACGTTGTGTGTTTACTTGTGTATTTCAGCAGTGTATATGGCAAGAATCCTATGGCAGCAAATCAATTTGACTTGAAATATTTCTAGCACCAGCCCCTCTCCTCCTCCCACTTTTAGTCAGCCCAGGATTTCCCTTTTCAGACACAGATTGCTATGCTAAAAATGCTCTCAGAATTGTGACTGCATGTTCCAAAATAAAACATGTTTTCCTTACATGTTTTCAGGAGTAGGATGCTGTTTGTTTGTGATTTGCACAGTATTTCTGAGGCATCTTTGCAATCCATAATGGTATGGTTGCTATGCTACCAAATTACACAGTAAGTATTCTCAGAAATGGCCAGAGAACAGGTTAAGCAAAGTAGCAGAACGTGAAGCAATAGTACAGAATCCCTAGCACAGGGGTTTTACAGACATGCTTGTTGCCAGATCCCCAACTTGCAGAAGGACTCAGTGTTTGGATTAGTTTACTCTATATTGCAGCTTCCAACATCTCAAGTGTCTTTTTCCCCCCCCTCAGCTCTCCACGAATTCCCCAGTGACATCTTTACAAATGAGGACCGAAAGCATGGAGCAGTAGTCCTGCATGTCCTTTGTGTAAGTCTTTCGCATGTTTTATCTTATTGCATTTGACTGAAAAGAGAATATATTATTGGACAAGCTAATGTTAATTCCCATTTGTTCAGTTTCCCAGTGTTGCTGTTTCTTTTCATGGATACATGCTCAAATGTGGAATTCCCTAGAGCTATTTGCAACCTGGTTGAGAATGAGTTATCATTTCATTTAAATACATTTTAATATGATATCTTCCATTGTATACAAGTTCTTGTACTTCTCACAACCTCAACCCAGTGCTTAAACACGTTTAAATTTGGACATGAATAGTGCCATTGAAGTCTATGGGATTGTTTGTATGTCTTGAGTTAAGCATGTACTTAAATGCTACGCTGAAACCCAAAGATGGTTGTATCTATATGGAGGTACATGTGAGATCTTATAGTGATGTAAGCCATGACTACTTAGTGGCACTTTGTCTCCCTCTTGTGGTGGGTAGGCTTTATAATGATGCTGTATCCTTTGCCTGCAGAAATAGGCCTTTTGCATTAGAGGCTCCTGCTTCCAGAGGTAGAGGTCCCAGGTCTCTAAAATTTAAATTTTAAAATTAAAAAATAACTAAAAGAATTGTATAGAGTGCCTTCATGTGTGACACTGAAAACCAGTTGAAGATAACATGGATACACAACGCAGTGAGGGCCTAGTGAGAATGCATGAGAAAAAGCCTTAGCTCCAGCTATAGTAGGACCTTCCTATAGCTCTGGAAGTCTTCAGTATATCCTCCAAAATGTGTCCATAATGTCAAGAGCTCCCAATACCCACTTAACTGTGATGCCCCTCTATTACCTTCTTTTTTAAAAAGAAATTTGATATCCTTTTTTTTTTCCATTGTGAGATATTTGTATACATCAGCAGCAAGCACCATGGAAATATCTATAAATAACCACAAAAAGAATTGGTTCTGCATCCTTTGACATTGTAAATAAAAGATCCTGCCTCTGACAATTACTGACCCTAAGCTTCCAGAAACCATGATCTGGACCCCCAAAAGCCATCAGATTGGCTTATGTTTGGGGCGAGAGAGTGGTATTTCTTTTCTGGATTTTGAGCCTTTAGGTTTCAAGTTTCTGTGCTTTTCTCTATAACCATGAGGGTTGCACACCTTTTTCTTAAAATAAATAAATAAATAAGGAAAAGAAATCAAGCAAGCTGAGTCTCTTGAATAACTACATGACTCCAGGAATCAAAGCTATAGGAAAAACACCAGGAAAGTTCATAATAAACTCTTGAAAGATAGCAACATGCATTGTCCAATGTATTCATGACTAAAGAGAAAGTGCCACAGTTTGCAAATCCAAGATGTTTGAAAATGTCCACCAAAAGACAGTGATCACAGAAGTTCCCTTGCAATCACAGTGTAAGCCTCTGATTCAGTACCGGTGCAAAGAGGCTACTTGTGGGCTAAATGTGAAACATGTACCTGAGTTTCTTTTTTGCATTGGGCTATGAAACAAAGTTGTAATTACTGTATTTCAGGAACTAGGACAGAAATGAGTGCTTTTATACTAGATCTGTGTCTGCCTGTCCATCCCTTAAACAGTTAAGTATTCTTAGAGGACATTATGTGCAACAGCTGCTCTAATCGTAAAGAAAGAGAAGTGCATGTTTCCCTCCAGATCCATTTCTTAATGTCTGCAAGGAAGTGAAGACAATTCTTTCCCTTGTAATGTCTTTATAATTGAAGAAGAACTCCCAACTCCCTTCTTCTCAGAGGTGAAAGGCATTTTGAAGCAGGGAAGAAAATACCTGTCTAATGAATATTTAAAAATGTCTTATAGTTTCAGGTTTTAGTCAGCTTCAACGAACAGTCACTATTAGCAATATGCAATGATTTATGACTTCCTTTTGTCTTCAACTGAGGTTGTATCAGGTCATGCCTCAGTGCAAATGCCCTGCATTATGATTTTATTTTAAATGGGTAAGTGACTTCAGTAATTGTTTCAGTGGCATCAATAGTGACTTTGGCAAGCTGAATATTTCCAGGTTTTGATGGCAAAATGCTTGGCTATGAAGTAGTTTGGAACTTGCATGCTAAACCAAAGTTAGGAGATTTTTAGCACTTGCAAGATTATTCCAGCCAGTAAGCAGCTTGTTTAGTGGTTTAGGTCAAAATGTTCAAACCTGTGTTCCTAAAGTAAGGTGCCTAAATCCATAATACGACACTTAAAAAAAGTGACCAGATTTTCAAAAGGGCAGGGTAGCCATTACCTCCCACTGATGTCATAAGGATTTTTGCATGCTCAGTATTTCTACACAGGAGTAACTTCTTTATGACTCGATTGCCTAACTGAATAGGTAGGAGCCTAGTTCAGGTGTTTGTGTTAGAAAATGTTTATCAACATATTCTTCCATAGTATCAGAGACATCCTGGCTGCATTTTGCTTTTGACAGGATCCTAACACCTGCCTGGACGAATTGCTAATTTAAAAAAAATGGAAAGGTGCTTAGGGAATTAGCCTGTGTCATAGCAGAACCACTGGCAAGACTGTTTGAGCACTGGTGGCACTTAGGATAGGTCCCAGAGGACTGGAGAAGGGCCAATGTGGTCCCTGTTTTCAAAAAGGGGAAGAGGGAGGACCCAGGCAACTATAGACCGGTTAGTTTCACCTCTTTCCTTGGGAAGACCTTTGAAAAAAATTGTTAAGGATCACATCTGCAGGAGTCCATCACTAAAAATAATGCTGAAGGGCAACCAACATGGATTCATAACAGGTCCTGCCTGCATAACATAGATCCTGCCTGACTAACCTTGTTTCTTTTTATGACCAGTTCACAAACTGTTTAGATGCAAGAGTTGAGGTGGATGTCATATACTTGGATTTTAAAAAAGCCTTTGATACAGTGTCACATCCCATTCCTATAAAAAAAACAAACTAACCAGCTGTAACTTAGATGATTACATGGTTATGTGGGTGGCAAATTGGCTAATGAGATGCACCCAGAGAGTGGTGGTAGACGGGTTGGTATTGACCTGGAAAGATGTGGGCAGTGGAGTTGACCTGGAAAGTGTGGGCAGGGCTCAGTCCTCAGGCCAGTGCTGTTCAATATCTTCATCTGTGATTTGGACGAGGGCATGGAGAGCACACTGTCCAAATTTGTGGATGACACCAAATTATTTATAGATTTCATAGACTTTAGGGCTGGAAGAGACCAGGGGCAGGAAGTCAGCTAGGGTCAAAGGATGCTAGCAAGATAAGCATCCAAACGTTTCTTGAATGAGTCCAGAGTAGGTGCCTGCACCACTTCTGGAAGGGAGTCTATTCCAGGCCTTGGGGGCTCGGACAGTAAAGAAATTTTTCCTTATGTCCAGTCTAAAACAGTCTTGTAGGAGTTTATGGCCGTTGGTCGTTGTTATCCCTTGGGACGCTCTGGTGAACAGACATTCCCCCAGATCCTGATGCACACCCCTTATGTATTTATAGGCAGCCACCGGGTCCCCCCTGAGCCTGCGCTTTTCCAAGCTGAAGAGTCTCATGGCAAGGTAGACATATTGGAGGGTATGGATGCAGGCAGATTTGGACAGGCTGGAAGGGTGCGCAGAACAAAATAGATGCAGTTCAACAAAGATAAGTGCAGAGTGCTGCACCTAGGGAGAAGGAATCACCAACGTACATGCAGATTGGGTGATGACCTTCTAGGCAGCACAGCAGCAGAAAGGGATCTTGGAGTCATAGTTGACTCAAAGATGAATATGAGTTGACAATGTGACAAAGTGAGCAATAGAGCTAACCGCACTCTATCACGCATTAACAGGTGCATCACGAACAGGTCTAAGGAGGTGTGATACTTCCCCTCTATGTGGCATTGGTAAGGCCACAGCTGGAGTACTGAATCCAGTTTTGGGCCCCAGACTTCAAGAGGGATGTGAATAACCTTGAGAGGGTCCAGAGGAAGGCCACTCGTATGGTTAGAGGCCTGCAGGAAAGGTCCTACAAAGAGAGATTGAGGGACCTGGATCTCTTCAGCCACCGTAAGACAAGGCTGAGAGGGTATCGGGGCCAGGGATGGGGTGGGCAGGGAGCAGCAAGGAATAGGAGATGCTTTATTTACCATGGCACCTCTTGGAGTAACTAGTAACAATGGCCACAAACGGATGGAGAGCAGATTCAGATTAGGAAGAACTTCTTTACGGTAAGGGTTACCACAATCTGGAATGGGCTGCCAAGGAAGGTGGTGCTCTCCCCTACCCTGGAGGTCTTTAAGAGGAGATTGGACAAGTACCTGGCTGGGTCATCTGACACCAGCACTCCTTCCTGCCCAGGGGCAGGGGGTCAGACTCGATGATCTTCCAAGGTCCCTTCCAACCCTAAAAATCTATGAAATCTATGACGGGGGGAGGGAGGGGGATATGTTTGGAAGGGTATGAATATTTAAAGTATTTTGCAAGAAGCAAGTCCTTTTGGTAATATATTTTACTGGACCAACTGCATACTTGGGAGAGATCTTACACAAGCTTTCAGGCACACTGGATGTTTTCAAGAAACGGCTAAATGGGCATCTGTCCAGGATGGTTTAGGAAAAGCGGATGCTGCATTTCCTCAAGGGGTTGGTCTGGAACGACGCTTGAGGTCCTGTTCAACCCTATGGTTCTACTATTTTAATACTTTTTCACCACTTTTTGGAAGGAAACTGGTGCCTGCACTCTATAGGATGGGATTTCTAAAGGTACTGGGTGTGGCTCTAAATCCCCCATCAAAGTCAATTGTGGTTTTATGGCTCTGGTCTTCAAATGGGAGCACTGTTGGGTAATGTGGAGCCAAACTTCTGGAAACTGCAGCCATAGCAACTGTCTGCACCTTGTGAGGTTGACCAAGGTGGAGTTGCAGAATACCCCTGTTCTCAGTGAGAGAAGGCCTCACAGAGTCACTAAGGACAGACTGTGGCAAATGGTGTTCTGGTCTATTTGGCACATACAGAATTTCGTTTTTCCCTTTGTAAATATATATCTTGTTAAGGGTCCTGCATGGGAGGAAAGAAAGAAA